TATTATGAAAACCGTTCATAAATGTAAACATGCAAATATATGCATGAATATATGTACATATATATGCTTACATAAATACGCAAGTGTTGAAATGCATGAATATGCACACTCATACATCTGCAGATGTATACAACACCTACACACTAACAAACATGAATTTATACATTTACTCACGTACTTATACACACACATACATATGCATAACCATGCAGCTGCACACGTAATCACACAAAAAATACATATAGGTATGCATAAATATGATGCGTATAAATACATTCACACACGCACTGTATACATAAAATTGCGCATACATGCAGAAACTCAACAGCACAAATATACACATAGTAACAGTTACATTTTACTGCTTCATACCTGTATGATACCATCCAATATTTGTTACGTGTACTGAAGTAGAGAAGGCTGAGCTTATAGAATGCGGGAATCCTTGTCTCAGATCACCTTACCACCAAAATATATTTCATAATTTAGATATTACCTAAGGAGGATCTTCAAGGGATTCCCCGAAGTTTTTTCTGTGTTTTGTTTCTCCGTTTTTTTTAATTACTTTCACTTATAACTTGAGAACTTCTCATCTTATCTGATTCAATCATCTAACTCCTGTGTTCAGTGAAAATGACCAGATGTTAGGAACACTTGGCATGTGAAGATGTTCTGTGATCAATTTTTATTGAACCCATTCCTAGCATCCTTCTTGTTCTTGTTCTTGTTCAGACCAGAGCTTTGGTGAGATGGGGAAGGAAGAAGGATGGGTAAGGATGGAAATATTGGAAAAGGGTGGGAGGAGGGAGAGAGGTAGGATATAAAAGGTAAGTGGCCCAACCACTTTGGTGTAATTTAAAAAGTGTACGTGAAATGATAATATATTTAATTAAGGGGTATAAGACTAACCCATCAGTCACATAGATATAACAGATATATAAGTACATGACTCTGAATTGGCAGTAATTATACAAGTTGCATTTTTTTTTTTTTTTTTTTTTTTTTTTTTTTTTTTTTTTTTTTTTTTTTTTTTTTTTTTTTTTTTTTTTTTTTTTTTGCGATTGCACAACGGATGTTTATGCGACAATGAAGGCAATAATTTTCTGGCCAGTTTATAGAATTACGTGACAATGGCTTCTTACAGGTGGTGTCCAGCCATATTAAATAGCATAATTTTTTCATTAGAAAGTTATATATGATGTCTCCCTAATTGGGGGCGATGATTTTCTCAGTATACATAGAAGGGTTCTGGTGCTACCCAATCTTCTTCATCAGGGAGGTTGCTCAATATCATGGGTCGATGGTAATCATCTTTATGGATAAAACGACGGACCCTCTGTGGGAGAGTCATTCTTTGAGTCCTGTGAGGAGGAGTATTGATGATATAATCCGTGGTATTTACCACTTGTATAGGATGTTCTCTATCTGGCATGTATAGTTCTTCCTGGATGGGCTCAAATAATTTCCACAATCTTTAGTGGCTTAACTTCAAGCGCCCAAACAAGATGTGTTTTAATTGGACGACTGTGGAGAGAAAACTACAGATGTGTAGATGAAGATTTGATGATTTTATGATCAAATTTCAGTTTGGTTTATGCGCGGGAAACTTTGTTAGTACAAGGAATCTTTTTAAAATCATGTAATTCTTGGTATTTTGATCAAACTCACTCTTAAAAACCACAAAATCTATTTATCTTCTTACCAGATTATAGAGAATTTTAAAACTAGTAGAAAAATGAAAACTATTGAAAATTCGCTTTTTTAAATTTCCTGAGCAGATTGAATAAACCTTTAAATGCTGCTTCACGAAGTGATGATATAATCTGTCGACTACATCTAAGGTTTTTCTTAATAAAATCAGAACATCTAATTCAATCAGCTTGACATTGTAAACCCTGGTAAGTTATAACTAAGTGAAGGCTTGTTGAGCAACTAATATGCGCTGGTGGTCTCCCTTCTATCTTTAAGTTGGTCATTCCCGAAATTGATCGTTGTACAGAGTCTCGACAGTATAATTTCAGGTATATACGAAACATTGATTAATGTTTTTATAGGTTGTTGATTCATATGCTCATGCATATGATGGTGGTAGTGGTGGTGATGGTTTTGCTTATGGTGGTGATAGTTGTGGTGGTGTGGTGCTGAAGGTGGTAATGATGGTGGTAATGGTAGTGATTGTGTTCGTGGAAAATATTTTCTTCCCCATGTGACTCCAGGGACATTATGGCTGCTGACACCTCCATCAGGGTGATAGGGGGGTTTCCCTACCTTGCTCTCATTATACGGGAAAATGTCAAACTCTAAAATTCCTTTCATATGACATATCTTAATCATCGGTTCCTTTATGTATAGTTATGAGACCACTGACCCATAACGTCTAGGGCACTTGATCGGAGCTCATTTTTTTTTTTTACCAACTCTGGCAACCTTGCCTAGGGCTGAGCCCAGGAATACGATTTCAAAAGCCAGGGGACTGACTTCAGTCTTCCTTTAATGAGATGTTATGTCCATGCGAGGGACGTACAGGAAGCTCATCTAAGTGACCTGTGGATCTCTGAACATACGCAGGATCCACAGTCGAGTGTAATGAAGATCTTGTGACGTTATCCACACGTGGTGTAAGTGGGTATAACCCACAAAGAAAGATGATATTCATGCAGGGTAATTGCTCATTAATGAAGACCATAATGAACAAATGGTAAGCCTTACGTTAGGTAAGATTTGTCAGGAAACATGACAAGTGTTTCCTGATGTGAGTCTTTGTCATATGATGACCCGCACTGGAGCTTTACCTCCCTCCGGCTTACCGGTCCACCCTTTTAAAAATTATGGTTATGACTGACATCTCTAGAACTGCTACTGAATGGTCTATCTTGCAACATTGTCCAGTGTAGATTGCAATAAATTATCTCGTTCAAGGTAGATAGGGACTTAGCAAAGACACAGTGCTACTAGCTCAGATTATTGGAAGTCAGTATCAAGGTGTCAACTACTGACGGCACGGAAGCACCAGGTTCACGTTCACTCCAACAGAGACTAGGCGTGCTGTATTTCGGTCTAGAAAATGTCCAGGCATCAAGTGTCATCAGAGACATCAGAATGATAAGTAGCCAGTGCTTTAATAGTAATACGGGGAAAGGTCAACAATATTAAGATCTGGGATGGCTGGTGTCTAGTGCGGCTCGACAGACAAATGAGTGATTAGTGTCACTTAAAGCAGAACATCTAATTACACTGGTCTACAACCAAAATGATTCCGAGACCAGAGTAGCAGTTTCCAACTAATAGTAAGTCACTGATAATGAATATATTGGTTAAAATTGTTTGTTAGCTCTACCTTTCAATATACACCTACGTGTCACTACAGGTTCCAACAGTCTTGTTGCAGTGTGTTTCTTACCACACTCACAGTCTCACTGACCTTCATCATTATTCCAGCAGTCATGGAAGGTGGTTGTGCTAAACACTTTTTAAACTTATAATAAATATTCACTGAGCAAGCTATTGATATGCATGCAAGAGGTTCCCACTACATCAGAAGAGACTGGCCACCTCGTCAATCAAACCATACCACGGGCGGGTATAAAACCCGTGATCAGAGAGTCTCAAAACTCCAGACCGTCGCGTTAACCACTGGACCAGCTAGCTGGTCCAGTGGCAAACGCGACATCTGGAGTTTTGAGACTCTCTGATCGGGGGTTCTATCCCTGCTCGTGGTATGGTTTGTAATCGTGTCATTACGATTTCGTGAGTCAACTCGTCAATCATTGGAGCCTGGAATGAAAAATGATCAACATCCACCTCTCATTGAACCAAACAAAATTTTACTACCACCACTACACATAAAACTGGGGTCATGAAAAACTATGTAAAAGCTATGGACAAATCCAGTCAGGGAGTCAAGTATTTAACATCAAAATTCCATTCACTGAGCGACGCTAAGACAAGAGAGGGAGTCTTCAATGGCCCTCAGATTCGAGAGCTTTTTAAAGATGGTGACTTTGAATCAGACCTTCATGGGGAGGAGAAAGCTGCTTGGCAAGCATTCAAGTTAGTGACGAAGGGATTTCTCGGAAACAGAAGGGAAGGCAACTATGAAGAATTGGTGGAAAACCTCATCAAAGCTTACAAGAACATGGGATGTATCATGTCACTTAAAATTAAATTTTTGGACTCATATTTAGACTTTTTTTTCCAGCGAACTGTGGGACAGTTAATGACGAACATGGTGAAAGGTTTCACCAAGATATTTCAACCATGGAAAAATAGTACCAGGGCAAATGGAACACAAGAATGCTTGCAGATTTTTGCTGGACATTGGGAGATATGATTCTTCAGCCCACTATAAACGTCAAACATGTCTCGTATCTTTAAACCTATAACCAATACGCATTTTTCAAGGTGATATTTGGATTCAGAACATAAAAAAAGCATAAGAATTAACTAATTTCATTTAAATAGCATGCAACCTATCAAAAAATGTCGACAACTTATACACCATTCATACAATGAGAATAAACAGAAAAAACACATACATACACACACACACCTAAATATGCAAAAGGATACATAAGTGTAAATAAATGCACATACATCTGCATACACATAAGTAATACTTGAGATTTTGGCTTAAATAGCAACGCTCTTCTTGCCGACAATGGCAACCGAAAATTTGTATATGCAATAATTTTGCAAAAATCATTCTGAACCTAACGGAAAAAATTATATTTTATTGTGCTTTATTTTATTAAATTAATGTAAACTTATCTAGAATATATTTATTAGAGTAGGCTAAAATTAATTATGCTTCTTATAATAAGGTTACATAGTTTTCTAAGGTTCCTTTCGGCACAAAATTATTAATTTTTACTCTTCAGAACCTAAGATATATTGAAGTGAAATTATGTAAACTGATGTAGAATTGCACTAGGTGTAAATATAATTCTGTTAAAAAAATCCAGCACATTACATTATTAACCAACACATTCCATTGTTTACAGCTCCTGGCGTGAAAGTGATCAACTTAACCTGTTCGACGGATTATTCGGAAATTTCGTGTGACTTATACTCATCAGATGGCTGTACAAACTACAATGGACCAAATATATACTTTACTGTCACAATTGAGACTCACATCACCTGCAATAATACTTTTCATCAACTCTCGCAGAATGTGTCGCTCTTTACTTGTCCTAGTCAAAAAGTGTCAGTAACCTTCTCTCAAGTTTTGGCAGGACAGATGTACCAGGTCACAGCACAAATGCATAACTCCGTAGGTACTGGATACTCTCCTGCCTCCATCAACGTTACTACACCACAAACCAGTAAGTTTATTAACTGATCAACGACATCAACTTAATTATCAAGAGATAAACAATAATGGTATCTTAATTTTTCTGGAAAGATTATATACATAGTGAAGAAGAGCAGGATGTGAGTGTGGGGGAGGTGCGTGAGGCATTACGTAGAATGAAAGGGGGTAAAGCAGCTGGAACTGATGGGATCAAGACAGAAATGTTAAAAGCAGGGGGGGGGATATATGGTGTTGGAGTGGCTGGTATTTTTGTTTAATAAATGTATGGAAGAGGGGAAGGTACCTAAGGATTGGCAGAGAGCAAGGGGGACAAAAGAGATTGTAAAAAAATATAGGGGAATAAGTTTACTGAGTATACCAGGAAAAGTGTACGGTAGAGTTATTATTGAAAGACAGAGTAGGATTGCTAATGAGCAAGGAGGTTTTAGAGTGGGTAGGGGATGTGTAGATCAAGTGTTTACATTCAAACATATTTGTGAACAATATTTAGATAAAGGTAGGGAAGTTTTCATTGCATTTATGGATTTAGGAAAGGCATAAGATGTAGTGGATAGTGGAGCAATGTGGCAGATGTTGCAAGTACATGTATATGGAATAGGTGGTAAGTTACTAAATGCTGCAAAGAGTTTATATGAAGATAGTGAGGCTCAGGTTAGGGTGTGTAGAAGAGAGGGAGACTACTTCCCAGTAAAAGTAGTAAGTCTTAAACAGGGATGTGTAATGTCACCCTGGTTGTTTAATATATTTATAGATGGGGTTGTAAAAGAAGAAAATGCTAGGGTGGTCTGGAGAGGGGTGAGATTAAATTATGGGGAATTAAATATAAAATGAGAATTGACACAGTTACTATTTTGCTGATGATATTGTGCTTATGGGAGATTGCAAAAAAAAAGTTGTAAAGGCTAGTGGACGAGTTTGGGAGGGAGTGTAAAGGAAGAAAGTTGAAAGTGAACATAGGTAAGTGCAAAGTGATGAGGGTATCAAATGATTTAGATAAAGAAAATTTGGATTCCATATTGGAGAGGAGTATAGAAGTAGTGAATGTTTTCAGATATTTCGGAGTTGACGTGTCAGCAGATGGGTTTATGAAGAATGAGGTTAACCATAGAATTGATGAGGGGAAAAAGATGAGTGGCGCGTTGAGGTATATGTGGAGACAAAAAACGTTATCAGTGGAGGCAAAGAAGGGAATGTATGAAAGAATAGTGGTACCAACACTCTTATATGGTTGTGAAGCTTGGGCTGTAAATGCTGCAGTGAGGATGCAGTTGGAGGCAGTAGAGATGTCCTGTCTTAGGACGATATGTGCAAATATTATGTAGAGAATTCGAAGTGTGGAAATTAGGAGAAGGTGTGGAGTTAATAAAAGTATTAGTCAGAGGGCCGAAGAGGGGTTATTGAGGTGGTTTGGTCATTTAGAAAGAATGGATAAAAGTAGAATGACATGGAGAGCATATAAATCTGTAGGGGAAGGAAGGCGGGGTAGAGGTCGTCCTCGAAACGGTTGGAGGGAGGGGGTAAAGGACGTTTCGTGGGCGAGGGGCTTGGACTTCCAGCATGCGTGCATGAGCGTGTTAGATAGGAGTGAATGGAGACGAATGGTTTTTGGGACCTGACGAGCTGTTGGAGTGTGAGCAGGGTAATATTTAGTGAAGGGATTCAGGGAAACCGGTAATTTTTATATAGCCAGAATTGAGTACTGGAAATGGGAAGCACAATGCCTGCACTTTAAAGGAGGGGTTTGGGATATGGGCAGTTTGATGGGTTGTGTAATACATCTTTATACTTCTAAACTGTTGTATATGGGTGCCTCTGCAAAAACATTGATTTTGTATGAGTGAGGTGAAAGTAAATGATGAAATCATTTTCGTTTTGGGGAATTTCTTTCTTTTTGAGTCACCCTGCCAAGGTGGGAGACGGCCGACTTGTTGAAAAAAAAAATAGATAAATATATGTTGGTAGGTAGTAGGTTAGTAGACAGCAACCACCCAGCGAGGTACTACCGTTCTGCCAGGTGACTGTGAAACAGAAACCTGTAACTGTTTTACACGATGGTAAGATTGCTGGTGTCTTTTTTCTGTCTCATAAACACGCTGGATAACAGGTATATCTTGCTACTTCTACTTACACTTACGTCACACTACACAAGCATGCACATCATATATATACATACACACATCTAGGTTTTTCTTCTTTTTCTTAATAGCTCTTTTCTAATTTTTTCCCCCTCTATTGTCCATGGGGAAGTGGAAAAGAATCTTTCCTTCGTAAGTCATGTGTGTCGTATGCAGCGACTAAAATGCCGGGAGCAATGGACTAGTAACCCCTTCTCCTGTACACACTAAAAATAAGAAGAAGAAAAACTTTATAAAATCGGGATGCTTGAATGTGCGTGGATGTAGTGCGGATGATAAGAAAGAGATGATTGCTGATGTTATGAATGAAAAGAAGTTGAATGTCCTGGCCCTAAGCGAAACAAAGCTGAAGAGAGTAGGGGAGTTTCAGTGGGGAGAAATTAATGGGATTAAGTCAGGAGTATCTGAGAAAGTTAGAGCTAAGGAAGGGGTAGCAATAATGTTGAAGGATCAGTTATGGAAGGAGAAGAGGGAATATAAATATGTAAATTCAAGAATTATGTGGATTAAAATAAGGGTCGGATGTGAAAAGTGGGTCATAATAAGTGTGTATGCACCAGGAGAAGAGAGGAGTGTAGAGGAGAGAGAGAGAGATTTTGGGAGATGTTAAGCGAATGTACAGGAACCTTTGAACCAAGTGAGAGAGTAATTGTGGTAGGAGACCTAAATGCTAAAGTAAGAAAAACATTTGGAGAGGGTGTGGAAGTTAAGTTTGGGGTGCTAAGTGTAAATGATAAAGGGGGGCCTTTGATTGAACTTTGTACAGAAAGGGGTTTAGTTATAGGTAATATGTATTTCAAGAAAAAGATGATAAATAAGTATACAAGATATGATGTAGGGCGAAATGACAGTAGTTTGTTGGATTATGTATTGGTAGATAAAAGACTGCTGAGTATACTTCAGGATGTACATGTTTATAGAGGGGCCAGAGATATATCAGATTACTTTTTAGTTGTAGCTACCGTTAGAGTAAAAGGTAGATGGGATACAAGGAAAATAGAAGCAGAAAGTAAGAGAGAGGTGAAGGTGAATAAACTAAAAGAGAAGGCAGTTAGGGTAAGATATAAACAACTATTGGAGGATAGATGGGCAAGTGAGAGTATAGGTAATGGAGTCGGAGATGTATTGGGTACCTTTAAGAAGTTTGTGGTTAGAGGAAAGTGGGTGCGGGAGGGAAGAAGAGAGATTGGTGGAATGATAATGTAAAGAGAGTAGTAAGGGAGAAAACGTTAGCATATGAGAGATTTTTACAAACTAGAAGTGATGCATGGAGGGAAGAGTTTATGGAGAGGAAAAGAGAGGTTAAGAGAGTGGTGAATCAATGTAAAAGGAGAGCAAATCAGAGAGTGGGTGAGATGTTATCAAAAAATTTTGTTGAAAATAAGAAAAAAAATTAGAGTGAGATTAATAAGTTGAGGAAGCCTAGGGAACAAATGGATTTGACAGTTAAAAATAGGAGAGGAAAGTTATTAAATGGAAGTATCGGGAAGATGAAGGGAATATTTTGAGGAATTGTTAAATGTTGATGAAGATAGGGAAGCTGTAATTTCGTGTATAGGGCAAGGAGGAATAACATCTTGTAGGAGTGAGGAAGAGCCAGTTGTGAGTGTGGTGGAAGTTCGTGAGGCAGTGGGTAGAATGAAAGAGGGTAAGGCAGCTGGGATTGATGGGACTAAAATATAAATGTTGAAAGCAGGTTGGGATATAGTTTTGAAGTGGTTGGTGCTATTATTTAATGGAAGAAGGTAAAGTACCTAAGGATTGGCAGACAGCATGTATAGTTGCTTTGTATAAAGGCGAGGGGGATAAAAGAGAGTGCAAAAATTATAGGGGAATAAGTCTGTTGAGCATACCTGGTAAAGTGTATGGTAGAGTTATTATTGAAAGAATTAAGAGTAAAACAGAGAGTAGGATAGCAGATGAACAAGGAGGCTTTAGGAAGGTAGGGGGTGTGTGGACCAAGTGTTTACTGTGAAACATATAGGTGAACAGTATTTAGATAAGGGTAAAGAGGTTTTTGTGGCATTTATGGATTTGGAAAAGGCATTTGACAGGGTGGATAGGGGGGCAATGTGGCAGATGTTGCAGGTGTATGGTACAGGAGGTAGGTTACTGAAAGCAGTGAAGAGTTTTTACGAGGATAGTGAAGCTCAGGGTAGAGTATGTAGGAGAGAGGGAGATGATTTCCCAGTGAAAGTAGGCCTCAGAGAAGGATGTGATGTCACCGTGGGTGTTCAATACATTTATAGATAGGGTTGTAAGAGAAGTGAATGCGAGGGTCTTGGCAAGAAGAGTGGAGTTAAAAGATAAAGAATCAAACACAAAGTGGGAGTTGTTACAGTTGCTCTTTGCTGATGACACTGTGCTTTTGGGAGATTCTGAACAGAAGTTGCAGAGGTTGGTGGATGAATTTGGGAGGATATGTAAAGGAAGAATATTAAAAGTGAATATAGGAAAGAGTAAGGTGATGAGGATAACAAAAAGATTAGGTGATGAAAGATTGGATATCAGATTGGAGGGGGAGAGTATGGAGGAGGTGACTGTATTCAGGTATTTAGGAGTGGACTTGTCAGCAGATTGGTCTATGAGGGATGAGGTGAATCATAGAACTGATGAAGGGAAAAGGGTGAGTGATGCACTTAGGAGTCTGTGGAGACAAAGTACTTTGTCCGTGGAAGCAAAGATGGGAATGTATGTGAGAATAGTTATACCAACACTCCTACATGGGTGTGAAGAATGGGTAATGAATATTGCAACGACTAGAAGGTTGGAGGCAGTGGAGATGTCATGTTTGAGGGCAATGTGTGGTGTGAGTATAATTCAGAAAATTCGTAGTTTGGAAATTAGAAGGTGAGGAATTACCAAATCTATTACC